CGATCAGCTCGTAGAACTTATACAAATCCCAAAGCACCGAGGCAGCGACGTCCCCTCGCCTGGTGGACATCTCACTGTGAAGGGTCTGGCGCCAGACTACGTCGGAGGCGCTCTTGAAACCGTAGCCACCGAAGAACGATCTCATGTGGGACTCCTCCCACTCCAGCGCATACTGTCTACGTGTTTTCCCCCATATCCTATATAACAAGGTGAAAATCCCAATAGGGCGGAGTCCCCCCATGGGTTTGGGGAGCATGGCCAGCATAACAAGGCGAATCTGAAGAGGCAACGAGGAAGTAACCTCACAGACGGCAAGGATGCATGACAACACTCTGAGGGCCCCGTCACAGAGACTGTTGAAATGACGCATGCGGAAACCATCCACCGAAACAGCCGATCTACCCGCGTATTCTTTACTGGCAGCCCTCAGCTGCTCGGGAGTAATCCTGGACAAAGGCTCCATGGGAATGAAATCACATGTCTCAGAAAATTCGTCAACACTCGAGTCGGCAAGCCGGAGCGCCGAGAAACGCTTTCCTTCTGCCTTAAGCAGCGCAAGAGGGTCAGCCACCACCTGACCGAGAGCCGAAAGCGTCGAGGATGGAACCCAGGCTTCAACCGGTCTCGTCCACAGGTGGGCCGATCTCGCCCCCTGGTCCAAGTCCTTTTGAAGCCATTCCTTCCACGACTGCTCTCCCTCCCGGCGCGAGAGAGTGTAGGCAACCGTAACCGCGGCGCCCAGCCGCTCCTGTAGGCCTGCAGCTCGTACAGGGTCCTGGTCAGCATAAGAAATCTCAGACTGGACCTCAGACAGCAAGGGGCCGCGGGGGCCAGAGGAAATGCGGTCGCAAATGAATTTAGAGGGGTGGGGGATAGAGGTCGCCCAGTCAGAGGGGTCGAGGACGCCGTCATCCACGCGCTCCGAGGCGCAACGATGAGGACGCTTGTCCTGGCGCCACGCACGGAAAGCATGGGCCAGATAAACAACTGAGGGTGTCTACACGGACGGTGGTCTCGCTTATGAATGTCGGCCCACCAAGTCTTAAGAACCTCCCCTCTACACCCCATCCTAGGCAGGGTCTTCTGATACAGCCCGCACAGCTCGCGTTCAGCCTTGTTCGCCCACGCTTGATAGAGCTTATTCAGCGAGACCCCCGAGTCCTTGTCCCCCGCACGCGCAGCACAGAGGACGGACTCGGCCATCACTTCCTCAGTCTCCCAGCACGGCGGACACGGGCAGGGCCCCACAGGCACGACAGACGGCAAGGGAGGAGGCTTCCTGAAAGCCAACACCTTGAGCTCATACAGTTGTGAGTGGAACTTGATCGTGACAGGGGCATGGGGGGGCATGGGGGCACTGCGGTCAACTCCAACCGAACGAACACCTTTAGACAACCCACTCGACACAATAAAGTAATCGCAGTTTTTCGACCCAGCCTCGGACGTGGAAGTGCACGTCGGGCTCCCCGAGGTCACAAGCTGAGCCTCAAGGGTTTCAACAAATTTAGATTCCCCTAACACCTGCGGTTCCATGTTAAAATCGCCTCCGATCACATAGCCGCTGAGGGTGGAGGAAACGAATCCGCCAATCTTATACATAATGAACTGATTGCTCTCCGAGAGTCCCTGGCAGTCGTGGAGGTAGCAGCTGACCACCGCAACTGGCTGCTGCCCTCCAAGATTCACGAAAGCTCCGATAGCACGATACGGGACCAGCTCACAACCTCCAGGGGGCTCGAAGAGGCCGACGAAATGCCTGCACATGACCGCCACCCCCGCAGAGGTCCCCGTCGTCGACGTTACCTTAGCTGGCAGCGCAAGCGTCTTCCACCCGTTCCTTAGAGCCCACTGCTGAGCTTCCGAGATCCGATCCGCTCCCAAATGGTGTTCCTGCAGGAGAACCAGCACTGGCTGCCTCAAAAAAATTCTGCTGTCCAAAACTGGCCGATTTATAGCCCTGGGGGGGGGTCGGCGGGATAGGCTGACACGCCGTAACTCAGAGCACTCCGACAGGAAACGGCCCCGTGGCCCATGCTCGAGTCTTCGGACTCATCAGCAAACAAATGATAGATATAGTTGCGCAAGCTGAGCCGAGGTGAAAACCGAAGTCTGTGCTCACACTCAGCCCTCACTTCGTGAAAGTCTGATCCTGGGACATGCACTGGCTCCTGGAAATCCCCCCTCCCGCCAGCGGCGTCAGCCACGCGCGGCAGGGGGGGAAGCCTTAGAAGACGCCTTGGCTGCGACTGCCATGGCCTTCTTTGCCCTGGACCGTACATCCTCAGGTTCGCCAAGCTCAGCGTCATCGGCTCCTCCGACGGCGACTTCGTCAGGAGATACTTGAGGTTGAGCAGCAGCACCAGGCTGATCACTGCACGGCGGTACCGAACCTGATGCAGAGCTCGCCCCCGATGCACCCGCTGACGGCTCAGAAAGTTTGTCAGCACCAGCACCAGCTTCAACCAGCCCATGCTCGCCACGACGACGTTTTTGCTGAAGCTTACGAAGGTGTTCAGCATGAGCCTTCTTGAGTTCACTGGCCTTGTCGATCGCCCCCGAGAACAGCTGCGCTGCAACCTCCTGCAACTGCGTGTTGAGCGTGTCCCTGCGCTCATCCAAGATCCGCTGATCCTCGGGGGTGACCACATACACATCGCTGTCGATCGTGAAGAGCGAGGACGTGTCGATGAACTCCAACGCTTTAGCCTGGCCCGACACAATATCTTCCAGCTTGAGTAGCTTCGTGTTGCCGTCGGGCGTCTTTGGTGCACGTGGAACGATCCCTCCAGCCAATTCTGCGACGATCTGCTTGTAGTCCGCGTCGGCCTTGTCCAGATCGTCGTTGGTGTTCTTAACCATCTCCTGCTGCGACTCGAAGTACTCTCTCGCCTTGTCGAGCTTGCCGAGCTCCCTGGCCAGGACTCTCTCAAACTGCTGTACCTTGGAGTGTGCCTTGGACGCTCGAGCTTGAACGGGCTCTTGAGCCGCAGGAGGAGGTTCAACTTTGTCAAGGACTGCCTGCCACTTCTTTGCACCGTCAGTGTCTCCCGCTCGCTTGCTGAGCTCAACCAAAGAACGCAACTCGGACGCGGCGAGAGAGGCACCCGTAGTAGAAGGGGCTGGCTGCTGCTTCGAACCCATGTGCAACGGACCTGGACGCCACGGAAGAGGAGGCCAGTGTGCGGCACCGGTAGGAAGAGCCTGCTCGCCATGGCCAGCATCACCACTGCGGTCAGCCCCACAATGCTTGCAGCAGCTCCAGTTCTGTAGGTTCTTCCTGCACCCGCAGCTGTCGCACTTCCATCGTCTGGATGAAGGCGGGGGCGGCGGCACAGGGAGCCTCCCACTTGAACTCCAACCCTTGTTGTACCAGTCCGACGACCAGCGCTTGGTGTTCGACCAGACACTGCCATCGCGGCTCTTGAAATTGACTCTGACCCGAGCCACTCTGGCTCGGAGATGCAGTGTGCCTTTTCGAAGTTCGCACCTCCAAACTCTGCAAAAAACAGAGCCGAAAAGGCTAGGAGGAGGAGGAGGTGGAGGAGGAGGAGGAGGAAGGGGAGGAGTAGGGATTAGGGAGGGGGGGACGAGGGACGGGGAGGAGGGACGGTGAGGACGAGGAGGAGGAGGAGGAGGAGGACGAGGAGGAGGAGGGACGGAGGAGCGAGGAATTAGGGGCCCAGGCATTGGCAACGACACCAACACACGGGGCTGTCTCCACCGGTAGAAGATGATCCTGGATTTTAGTGCTGGTGGGAATCTCTCGGCCACCTGAGAAACCAGAATACGACCACCATCACCGAGATCGGGAGAACATTCCTTCGGTGAAGGCGACCGCCGATACTAGTGTTGGTGCCAACCTCTTTGCCTCCGAATGAGAAAAGGAGGAGGCGGTGGGCAGAGGAGGAGGAGGCGAGGGCAGAGGAGCCCGCGCCTTCTGTGGCAACTCATAGAAGCCTCCCATGTCATGATGCTGGCTCTTACGATTCTGACCGAGGCTAAATCGCTAACCGACGTATGATCGGTGCCTCCTATCGACTACCAGATGCCAGCGCACGCTGGTGCAGTCCAGCTACAGAAACTCGAGGACACACACAAGGCTCACGGGAGCTGCTACCGAACAGGCCTCGAGATTGCTGCTCATGACTTCGGATAACGGTCGTCATCCAAGGGGTGGGGGTGGAGAGAGAGGGGATGACGGAAACGCTTCGGCGGGATGGGGCACGTCGGAGAGGGGACACGCTGCGATCCCCGCAGTATGTGCGCGAGCACTCGCATCTGGGGGGGGGGAGCCGATCCCCCCCTCGGCTCCCCCCCCCCCATACGTGCGATCGGGACCGTTACCGGGAGGGAAGAGGGGGGTTTAGCCTAACTGGGGAAACCAAAAGGTACCGATACCGCTCCCCCCCGGACCTCTCCTGGGGAGCGCTCTGACCAGAATTTCGAGGCGAATTCAGCGGTGGCGACGAGGGCCTCCCAGGAGACCCGAAGAGTGGAAAAAACGAGGAAAACGTGGAGGTATGGGTACCTCTTCATTCTCCGACCAGCGGGCGTCGCGCGCCAGAGGTACAGGAAGCATACGGCCCACGGGCTGCTACCGACTACCTACCAGACCACCCCAACCCAACCCGAAGGCCCGAATTTCGGGTTGGGGGGGGTACGGGTTCCACATGTGCTTTCCCGATGTTCCCCGACCCCCCCAACTGTTAAATGGAGGGCAAATCGAGACCTTCGGGTTGGGTTGGGGTGGTTTGGTGGGTGATGATGGGACGCACATGGACATACTAATACTATAGGTCCTCCTTGGAGGCGCGCGTCCGACCCGAACATATAGTATACCCATCTTGTAGTATATCGTTTCCCGAGCGGTGTGGCCAGAAAGCGCCCGCCACGACGCATACACTATAAGATTTCTCGGTGCGCGCGTCGCCCCTGGGGGGGGCGACGCACATATAGTATAAGTATGTTGGGGTGTTGCCGTGATGAGCTACCGCACCAGCCTCCTTGCCGTGCTTCGGGCACGGGTTCGGCAGCGTGCAGACGGCGCAGCGGCCGACCGTGTGGTCCGCCTGGCGCCGGGCGGGCGGAAGGGCCCGGCCGGCGGGCGGAGCCGCTCGGGCACGGCGGAGCCCTGTACTTCGAGTTCCGCGCTCCGCCTCGCTCCTCCTCGCTTCTCCACGCTCCGTCTTCTCCGCCTCCTCCTCCTCCTCCTCCTCCTCCTCCTCCTCCTCCTACTCCTACCTCTGCCTCCTCCAGATGACCCTCGTCCAAATGACCATCCTCCTCCTCCTCCTCCTCCTCCTCCTCCTCCTCCTCCTGGCTCTCCTCCTCCTCCTCCTCCTCCTCCGCATCATCCTCCTCCTCCTCCTCCTCATCATCATCATCATCATCATCATCATCATCATCATCATTATCATCATCATCAGCAGCAGCAGCAGCATCAGCAGCAACAGCATCGTCATCATCATCATCATCATCATCATCATCATCATCGTCAATATCATCATCAGCAGCAGCATAATCATCATTATCATCATGCTCAGCATGCTCATCATCATAATCAGCATCGTCATGATCGTCAGCATCGCCATCATCACCATTATCATCATCACTACCATCAGCATCACCATAACCACCACCATCATCATCATCATCATCATCATCATCATCATCGTCATCATCATCAGCATCATCATCGCCATCATCATAATTAGTATCAGCAGCAGCACCAACAGCAGCTTTCCCGTGACCAGCATCATCATCATCATCATCATCGTCATCATCATCAACACCATCATTAATCACCATCACTCGTAACCACCAGTCATCACCATCACCATCATCTTCTTCATCATCATCACCATCGTCAACATCATCATCACCAACATCATCAGCAGCAGCAGGACCATCATCTCATCATCACCATCAGCATCAGCAGCAGAATCGTCGTCGCCTTCATCATCATCACACCACCATCATCATCATCAACAGCGACATAGTCATCGTCGACGTCGCTGCCGTCGTCGTCATCATCAGCATCCTCATCATCAGCATCATCAACAACAACGCCAGCATCGTCATTGTCATCAGCAGCAGCATCATAACCACCATGTTACCATAATCGTGGCACCACATCACCATCGCCTTCAGCACCAGCATCAGCATGCATTATCATCATCATCACAATCGTCGTCATCTTCTCCATCATCATCACCACCACCATCATGATCATCTTCGCTGCCGCTGCCGCTGTCGTCATCAGCATCAACAACATCTACATCACCATCATCATCACCACCACCAGCATCATCATCATCACCATCAGCATCATCATGATCATCATCGTCATTATCCTTGCCATCCTTGTCGTCCTCGTCGTCGTTGTAATCACCAACACCACCACCATCATCACCATCATCGCCACCGCTATCTCCAGGACCACCACCATCATCAGCAACAGCATCATCATCACCATCATCACCATCACCATTACCATCACAAATATCATCATCATCTTACTAGTATTATCAATATTATTATTATTATTATTATTCATCGTCATCTTCCTCTTCATCACCGTCGTTACCACCCTCAACCTCCTCATAATCGTCGTCACCCATACCACACGTCCTCGTCATCGTGATCACCGCCGTCACCATCGTATTCCTCCTTCATACTATTCGCTCCTCTTCCTCCTCCTCCACCTCATTCTCCCCCTCCTCCTCCCCCTCCTAAACCTCCCCCTGCAACTCCATCAGAGACCGACCGAAACATCACTGAACTCTCGAATTCACTCGAAAAAGAATTGATTTGTCACACAGCCTCCTCTTCCTCCTGCTCATAATTATTGATTCCTCCATGCTCATCCTCCTCGTCCCGACCTATCCTCATCTCTCCTCATGCCTCCTCAAGCCTTTTCATCGTTTTCCTCCTCGCATGACTGATTCTTATCACCCTCATTCCCATCCTCCTCTTCGTCCTCGTTACTTCTCGCTCCTCGCTCCTGGCAACTCGCTCTTGCTGCTGCTGCTGCTCCTCATCCGTCCACAACCTGCTCCTCCTTCAGAAGGGGGAGAAGGAGGAGGGAGCGTGTTGAGCTGGAGGACATTCGAGCGAGCAGGAAGTATCCCAGGAAGGTGGAAGTGTTCTGGTTCCAATCCCAATTCCAAATCGGGTTCCAGCTCCGGTTCTGGTTCTGTTCTGGTTGCGGCTCTGGCGCCAGACAAGGGTGGCGCGAATCTGGTTCTGGGGGGAGCCTGATGCTGGTTGCGGCTCCGGTCCCGATTCGGGCGGCCTGCGGACGGTTGGGCGCAATTCCGCTTCCACTTCTGGGTCTGGTTCTGGTTCCAGCTCCGGGGCTGGTTCTGGTGAAGGGGCCCTGGACACACAAAGAAATACACACAACAACAGAAAAATCCCAAAATGTTCCCATATGTGTTGTTGTCTTCCCCCCCCCTCCCAGATTTTCCCATATGTTCTGGGGAATCGACGATTCATTGTGTCTGTGTTTTTTTTCCTCCTAACTGGTTCCGGTTCCGGTTCTGGCTCCAGCTCGGGCTCCGGCGGCCGGCGGAGGGGGAGAACTCTTCTGGCTCCAGCCCTGGTCCTGGCGGGGCGCCCGCGAGCGCAGCGCCGGCTCCGGGCGGCCTGCGACGAGGGGGGGGGCGATTTTGGCTGCGGGCGGCCTGCGACGAGGGGGTGGAGGAGGAGGAGGAGGAGGAGGAGGAGGAGGAGGAGGAGGAGGGGGAGGAGGAGGAGGAGGAGGAGGAGGAGGAAGAGAAGAGGGGGGGGATTCGGTGCCGTGGCCCCGCGGACGCGGCCACGGCACCGAACGCGTTCCTGCAAGGGTCTGGCGCGTGCGGGCGGTCAGGCCAGGGCCATGCCGCGCCTGTGCTTCGTGCGCCCCGCGCTCACGACGAAGGTGCCATCCTAAAATGCCACTGGAGCGACGATCAAGCACGGGTCGTACGCGAGATGACACAGCGACCTTACGCGGCGGCTTACGCGGGCCGCTCGCGCGGCATGCTGCATTGGAACCGACGGCGCTCACAAGCGAACTTACGCGGGCAGCTTACACGCCAATGTCGGCGAAGACGCCCCCGTTTTTGGAGTCGCTCACTTGTTACACCAGAAGGTGCTGCTGATCGGGGTGCCGTAACCCTCATCGGCAAGGGCATTGGGACCTCAGCGCCAATCCCTCGTCTAAGGGCGACGCCATGTGGGCTGCTTGACTGCCGACTCACCGCGCGGGGCCACCAGACTTCCGCGCCGTCGTGCGGGCTGTCATTTTCGGCCGCAGCTCCTCCAAGTATTTATCCTTGCGGCGGGCAAAGACAAGGGCAAGGGCAGAGCAGCGATGTCGGCAGACCCCCCAGCCGCGTGGGGCGGCATGACCCCGAGCCCCAACGCCGTCGGTTTTCACAATGAGGAGCTCCAGAGGCCTGGACTTCTTTCTGAGGACCAGGTGTTCATCCCGAATTCTGACGGGCACGGGCCCTCAGTGGCTGAACATTGCCATCGACATACACACATACATACATACATATATATACATATAGGCATACATACCTTATAACTGCCTGGTGCATGCCAAATACGCACATATACATATACGTACACACGTATACATATCTGTATATATACATTCATAAGCATGCATTCATACATTCATACGCATATATATATATATATATATACATACATGCATGCATACATGCATAAATGCATACAGCATGATGTATACAGGCATGCATGCATGCATGCATATGTACATACATACATGCATGCATGCATGCATACATACATACATACATGCATACATACATATATACATGCATGCATACATACATACATACATGCATGCGTACATACATAAATACATGCATGCATGCATGCATACATGCATGCATACATAAATACATACATACGTAAGTTTATACATGCACACATGCATACACACATACATACATACATACATGCATGCATGCATACATGCATGCATGCATACATACATGCATGCATACATGCATACATGCATACATGCATACATGCATGCATGCATACATGCATACATGCATACATGCATACATGCATACATGCATACATGCATGCATAAGTATACCCTTGCAGATATAACAAAAACGACTCGCACGCGCTCGCGCGCGCGGACTGCGCCCGCCACGAGCTGCACGCTAGGGCGGAGCCTCGGGCCAGAGCTGCAGGGCTGGGAACCAATGCCTTTTCAACACGGGGCTCTCGCCGGTCAGCTCCCGTTGGAGGCACAAGCTCAAGCACATGTAGCAGCTAAATGGGTGGAGGGCGGTCTCTTGAAAAAGCGGATATTGCAAGAATCTCCTCAGTACGATCATACCTTCTCGCATTTCTTACGATTATCATTCGTTGCGATCCGCTAGAAGGATAGCAACGCAGTTTCTTTTCAAAACGGTGCTCTCTCTCTCTCTCTCTCTCGCCTGAATGGGAAGCTCATAAAGTGCGGGTCTTCCAGGCAGGGGCCTCCGATAGTGAGAATGAAAGCTCGCATCGACTCATGGGGATGGGGACTTGAAACAAGGGGATGTATTGCACTAGCGTTGATTCATGTTGGATTTACCCTGGTCCCCCTGAGGTCCTCTTCGCTCCCCCTTTTCCTCGCTCGCCCGCCCTCCCTCCTTCCGCCTCCTTTCTTTTTTCTTCCTCTTCCTCCTCCTTCTACTTCTCGCTTCTCCTCCTCGTTCCCCTCGGTGCCCCTCCGCCTCCTCATCCTTTTTCCTCCCTTGTCCCTCCTCCTCCTCTTCCTCCTCCTCCCCCCCCCTCCTCCTCCTCCACCTGCTCGTGATCCTCTTCTTCCTCCTCCACCTCCTCCTCCTCCTCGGCCTTCTCCAATCGCTCGTCCTCCCATCGCTCGTCCTCCTCGTTCCTCCTCCCCTCTTGTTGTTGTTGTTGCTGGTGGTGCTGTTTGTCATTATCTCTCTCCTTCTCTTTCACTCGTTCTCTTTCTCTCCTTCTCGCTCTTTCTCCCTCTCTCTTGCCTTCTCTCTCTCTCTCTCTCTCTCCACCTCTCTCTCTTTCTCTTTCTCGTTCTCTGTCTCTGTCTCTCTCTCTCTCTTTCTCTTTCTCTCTCTCGGCGTGCGGGTCATCCTGACGCGGCCATCCCCCCCCCCCCCCCCAGAGGCGGCCACCCCGTGGGGGGGGGGATCAAAGCTAGGAACCAGGCGACTTCAGGGGCGGGGGGCCCTGGAGCCGACGGCTGGCAGGGCTGTTGTAGAAGGAGGAGGAACGACGGAAAGGCTCAGGATGGTAAGAAAGGAAAAGAGGGCGGCTGGTAGGAATAGTAATGAGTGTGCTGCGGCCGCGGCAGTGGGGCGGCCACACGCGCCCAAAAAGGATGGCCCAAAGGCCTCTCCCCAGCCCGTCGGAAACTCCACCACCCCGACCTGCAATCCAACCAACGGGACTCTCGCACACCGATGCGGTCGCGCGATACCCAATTAGGCGGCTGAGGGGCCAGGTGGGGGCTTCAACTGGGCGCAGGGAGGCTTGCGCCACCTAGGGGCGGTGGCTGCGGTCGGCTGGACGAAAGCCACGCTCGCCAGGTGGCCTCGCTTGGAGGTTGCTGTAATATTCCCCGCCCGCCCCTGATGACGATCCATCCTCCGCTCCCGCGTCACGAGCGTTGGCGCGGTTGCTGAAACTGCGTGGGCGGTGAGAAGTCTTGCGTGGGCTGAGGAGGCGGGAAAAATCGGGAAAGTACGGCGCACCT